GGTACATTTATCATTTGCTATAATCCAATACTACATTATTTATGTTGCTCAAATTGTCCCAGCTTAAGTCATTGCAAGCTCTTTCAGGTCTGTTCCTGTGTCCCTTTGCTATAGCTACATCCTTTTTTTTTTTTTTTTAGCACTTGGATTCTGATAAACAAGACGTCTCAGGCTCAACTTGTATTTTCCCTGCCCCAGCCCTAGAATCAGCCATTTCTCCAAGGAACCTTGATTCTTTTTATTTGGAAAATTGTATTTGGGAACCAACTTCTAGCCCTATCATGTTTTATATTCAATTAATACCAGCCTGTGTCAGCATGATTGAATCTGGATTGTGACTCGTGAAACTAAAATTATTTTGACAGTCTTTCTCATTTGCCATCAGCCTACAGCTTCTTGTCCTTTCCTACCAAAGAATCCTTGATCAACTGTTTATACTATAATTACACTCCTGATTATTTTGGTCATTTAACACCCCATGCCTGCTTTGTCAATCACTGAGCTATGGGTAAACTCAGCCATTTGATTTCCTTATGGTAGCCATCAGTAATGTAACATTTTAACATTTGCCTTTATGGAGGGGGCGTTGTTTTGGGTTTTCTTTTGTTTTATACCCTTCAGTGGGCCTTCTTTAACAGTGGTGCCATCTATTAATTCAATAAACATTTATTGAGTCTTTACTATGTGCAGGGTACTAAGCTAGGTAGAAGATAAAGTACAAGACAGGCCCTGCCACCAAGTACTTTGTAGTATGGTAAGTGAGACTGATGCCATTAATTGCAAGTTTCCCAATCTTGACACCATTTTTTCAGCAGGTGATTTGATTCCTATTTTGTTTAGAAAACAGAAGCTCGAATTTCCTCAAACTTCCCTCTCCTGTCCCTACAAACAATGTATTCACCAGCTTAGGAGAAAATATTTTTTCTTTGCAAGCTAAACCCTGTCACTTGTGCTCATTTTCTTAGACTTCTATTCCTTTGTTTTCATATGTTCTTTTATCTTCAGTCTTGCCAGGGTTCTCTTTTGTCAGCCTATCAGCACATTGAAATCCCTTCCCTCCCTCCATTTTGAAAAACCTCTGCTTCCTCTTCAAGCTGCTGATCTAGTCCTTTTCTTTCCCAAAATAGTTTAGACTCAATTTTTACTCTCACTCACTCCTCAGGCCATTTGTTCAGTTCCCATCATTTACCAAATTATGTGGGGGGGCGGGGGGTTTCTTTTAAGATTTAAAGATTTTATTTATTTTTAGAGAGATGGGAAGGGAGGGAGAGAAACCCTCCATATGCAAGAGATAGGCAATGATCCCTTGCCTCTCACAGGCCCCCACAGGGGTAGGGAGACCTGGCCTGCGACCCAGGCATGTGCCCTGACCAGGGATCAAACCTGTGACCTTTCAGTTCGCAGGCCGACACTCAATCCACTGAGCCACACCAACCAGGGCTTAAATTTTTATTTTTAGGGAGAGGGGAAGGGAGAAACAGGGAGAAAAACACCAGTAGGTTTCGTCTCACACATGCCACAACCAGGGATGGCTCTGCAACCCAAGCGTATGCCCTGACCAGGAATCAGACAGGAACTGGCGACCTTTTGCTTTGCGGGACAAGGCCTAACCAACTGAGCCACACCAGACAGGGTGCCAGATTCTTTCTTAAAAAGATCGGCTATCTACTTGCCAGCTTTAGTGGTCTTCCGGTCATTAGGTTCAGACACCCCTGCAGCTACATCTGAGAGCTTTTTTCCCATGGAATCTAAAACTGATACTCTCCTGCTTCTCCTTTGACCTTTCTGACTTCTTTTCAGTCTCCTTCCTTCATAGCCATTTCTTTTTCTGTCCCTTAAGTGTTGGTGTTTTCCTGCCTTGTATCCTTTCTGTACTCTGTACTCTACCTTCTACCCCCTTAAGCAAGTTATGTCTACTCTTTAGTTATTAAATATATGTTTGTGACTCCCAAATCTTAAGCCTTAAATTTTCTGTCAAACTGGCAGCCTGCTTACTGGACATTTTCATCTGGGTATCCCACAGATCACTCAACGTGTAAGAAGAGGAAATATCCCTTGCATTCCCCATCTCACTTAACAGTATTACTACCTGTTGAGCTTTTGTGCTTGAAAGCTCACAATCATCTTTTCAATTCTCCCTTTCATCTCTCAACATTCATTATCACCCCTGTTAATATTACCAATGCCTGTATCTAATTTTTTCCCTTATTTTTTTAATTTCCATTGTCCTGGTACCTTGGCGTAGGTCTTGTAACTGATCTTGGCTTCCAGTCTCCCTGAGCCCCAGTCATCTATCTTCCACATTGCTACCAGAGCCCTTCTTAAAATCCTTTGCTCTTAGGAAAAGTCTAAGCTCCTTGATAATAGAATTGAAAACCTTTCCAATCTGGTCTCAGTCTATTTCTAGGGTGATTTTCTGCTTTATATCTCATACATCTTTCTCCAGCTCACACCTTTTGCCCCCAATGCTACACTTTGGGTTCATACCTCTGTGTGTTTTGCCTATAACAATCACCCTCCTTTTATTTGTTTCCAGTGTGTCTACTTTTGAGGTGATTTAAAGATTACTTTTTCTGTGAAACCCTCTGGGCATCTTTCTTCTCTTGTCTTTTATGTCCTGGACAAAATTAGCTTATTTGATCTTTCTGCTTATATAGATGCTTATTTAGCTGCTTGTTCATACTTCTGGTCTGATACATCATTTTCTGGTAGCTTATTAATTTATCATCTTGCCTTTTTAGACTATGAGTTCTTTTTTCTTTTTTTAATTTATAAGTCAGTCATGTTTATTCTATTACAGTTGTCTGATTTGTTCCCCCTTTATGCCCCTCCACCCACTCCACCCCCACCCCCCTCCCACAGTCCATTCCCATTCTGTTTGTTGCCCACGTAGATGATGAGTTCTTGAAAGGCAGGAATTACATATCATTGTAAGCCCCACACCTAATGAAATACCATCAGACTGGGACTTAATAGATTATTTTCTAAGTTGAATGAATAAACAACTCATTTTAGCTTTGTTGTCAGTGGGGTCAAAGGTCAATTATTGGGCCACTGCAGACTTTAATCAGGGGACTCTGCTGAAGATCTTTGTGTATGTTTATCCAGGAAGCCTTTATTTCTATCCTGAGCTCCTTGGATATCCTAAGATCCTTTCTCAGAACTTTCCTAATCCCTTAGATCACAGATTTTTACCCATCCTATCACCATTTCAACTCTAAACTCTGTCCAGAGCAGGTATTCTTACCATAAACCTGACTGGAATGTTTCTCTCTGAGTTGAGTAGTTTTCCAAGGCTTTGGGTGAGGAAACTCTGCCTTCCTGCCTGATCCCTACCTCGCTCCCCACTTGAGGAGATAGTCTCCTGAGACACTCCAGACACAGAAGTTACTTGACCTTCCACTCCTCCCCCACTCTCCCATTCAGACTCAGACTTATCAGATCTAGGAGCTGGTGAAGGAAGATAGCTGTAACCAAGTACATTCCAGTCATCTCACTGGCTGGGTCCTGTAGACTCCCAGAACATTCCAAAAAGGGATGAGCAGCTGTCCATCTGCCTCTAGCTCTTCTCATTACTCCAGCTTTGGCTTCACTACTACTGGAGCTTTTACTTTCTTTCCTCCAGTTTCCCCAGGAGAAAGGCTCCAGAATCAAAGAGCCAATATTCAGACCATCATCCCTTGTCTAAGCCAGACCATTCCAGGATACGGTTTCCAGGGAGCCACCAGGGGAACAGAAGGCTAGGGAAATGAGGAACTGGTCCCCGTGACTCGAAATCTCAGGGGAGCCAGCTGCTCACCCCCGTGGAAATGACTATTGTAGGTTCTGAGTCTGGAAGAGATGGACTCCTGTCTCTCTATTGCAGCACAAGCCATAGTTCTCTCCTTTTGTATCCATGCTGACATTCCCTCTAAACACCCTGTGCCTTCCCTTCACATTGTTACAGTCCCTGCAACTGAATATATGCAGGAGGTACTCTGTATGTTTGTCGTGAGAAATGGCTCTTGCTGCCCCTTCCCTGCGCCCTGAGATTCTCCTATGTCTGCTGACCTCTGGTGGCGATAGTTTGAACTGTACCCTCCCTTTCTAGTTAGTGACCTGCTGGCAGGTTAATGGTGTATTTTTTTCCTCAAGAATCCAAATTCAAATATTCAAATACTGTATTGAATGGAAATACTTATTGCTGAGTTTTGTATTTATTTTCAGGCTTTTCAGCTATTAAGTGTGAAGATAATAATAACTAGTTCAATGGAAGAATTAGATGAGGTGATTGTAAAATGTGTAGCCCTAGATGTCGTCCTACCACATAGGTGCTCAATAAAAGCTTGTTACCTTCTCAATAATAGTGACTTGTTCAGTGTGTGACTCAAAGTGATTTTTAAAATTCTGGTAACATAAAATTTACCATTATGCCATTTTCAGTGTGATTTTTTTAACTTTGAGAAATTTTGTATAACTGATTTCTGATTCTTTAGTTTGGAAAATAAGGTAAACTCTAGCATGGACTGTGAAGCCTCTCTCTGCCCAGGGAGCTGTAGATCTGAGAGCTGATAAAGGTTAGACGGCATCTTGGGCACAGCTAAATGGCTTTGTGCACTTGACCTCACTTTGGTTTCCTGGCTGACAGGATCCAGTACTTTCTTCCAGGGTCAGTAAAGGGCAGAGGTTTGAAGTTAGGCATCACTGGGTTCTCAGCTGGGTCTCCAAGGCCCCCCCTCCTCCCACTCAGCAAAAAAAAAAAAAAAGGGAGGTGGCTGAATAGAGGAGGATATGAGATCGGTTCTCTGCTCCTCCCTCTCTCTCTCCTTGCTTTTCCCCACACCCATCCTCTCCCCCACAGCAGCCGTCTCCCCCACAGAGACTGGAAAGAGGGAGGAGGGCGGAGTTGGGGACTAAGAGATCAGAAGCCCCACAGTGCCCTGTATCTAAGGGAAGCTATGGCCAGGGGCAGCTCTGCTGGCTCGTGCTCCCCACCTCTTGCTGCTGCCTCCTTCAAAATGATGCTGGGTACTCTGGGGCTTTGGGTTCTGCTCCCTGCAGCTGTGCAAGGTAAGTGTCTACAAGAAGGGTCGGTGTCTTTCCATTCACCCAATGAGAAAGAGGGGCACTTGAAGCAGCAGCCACCACTTTGGAAGAGCGGTGAGTGGGGTGGGTGAGTGAAGGTAAAGGGTAGAGCCATGCGTCCACATGGCAGGGATCAGGTTCCAGGCCTCTGGTGACGCTCTTTCTACATATAGCTTTTCCATGCTGGCCCTGGGGTATGAAATGTGTTTTGTCTGTCTTTGTGGCTGCTGTTTTTGCCCGGGCATTCACTCTCATCTTGAACCCTCCCCCTACCCCACCTTGGGCCACAGCGCCCCCAAGCAGGCGGACCTGTGTGTTCTTTGAGGCCCCTGGAGTGCGAGGAAGCACAAAGACACTGGGGAAGCTGCTAGATGCAGGACCAGGGCCCCCCAGGGTTATCCGCTGCCTCTACAGCCGCTGCTGCTTTGGGATCTGGAACCTGACCCAAAACCAGGCACAAGTGGAGATGCAAGGTGAATGGCAAAGTATATGGCAGGTGATAGCTAGGGTGGGAGACAGCTACATCCTGGGTTGAGGGTGGCAGCTGAGGGAGAGGAGGAGAAATGGAGTGTATGGAGGGAAAGAAAAGCCCACATGAGATGGAAGGGATGGATGCCTCTGAGAAGGGATTTATCCTCTCTGTTCCCAGACCCCATTATGCTAGCTTGCTCTCTCTCTCACTAATCCCCTCCCCTCTTTCTCTCCTCTTCTCCTAAACCCACCCTATCAGGATGCCGAGACAGTGATGAGCCAGGGTGTGAGTCCCCCCGGTGTGACCCAAGCCCCCGAGCTCAGCCTAGCCCCAGCTCTACTCTCTTCACCTGCTCCTGTGGCACTGACTTCTGCAATGCCAATTATAGCCATCTACCTCCTCTGAGAAGTCCTGGGACTCCTGGTTTTCAGGGTCCCCAAGCCATCTCAGGTAGCCCTCTGGGGTGCTGAACCTGGGTAGGGGCTGGGACCCAGGTTAGAATAAGAGGTAGAACCAGGGCCAGTTCTCACCCTACCCCCATCTCAAGCTTCACTCCTCCTGACCTTGAGAAGTTGGTTGCCCTGGTGACTGGGAGATAACAGAGCTTGTGACCAGGTTGGGGGTGGGTTGAGAAGCAAGATCTCTGAGGAGGGGGAGAGGAGCAGAGAGAGGATTTGGGGCAGGCTCATCCAGCCTTCATTCTTGCCTTAATGCCCAGGCGAGTCCATCTGGATGGTGCTGGTTCTGCTGGGGCTGTTTCTCCTCCTGCTGCTGCTGGGCAGCATCATCTTGGGTATAATCTGCCCCACCCCTCCCCTGTGATCCCAAGAAACTGCCCCAAAGCTCTGACCCCTCTCCAGACTTGCCATGGTTCTGAGATATCTACAACCTGACTCCCATTACCTCCCACAAAGCCCCCTTCCCTGTCTCCATGCCCACGCACCCTGACCCTAAGGCATTTCTCTATCCCAGCCCTGCTACAGGGAAAGGCCTACAGAGTGAGAGGTGGACCAGAGCCAGAACTGCAGCCAGAGCCAAACTCAGGCAGAGATTGGAGTGCAGAGCTTCCTGAGCTTCCTGAGCTGCCTGAGCTGCCTGAGCTGTGCTTCTCCCAGGTGCTCAAGGAGGGAGGGAAGGGTCCTCTAGCCACTCCTAGAGAGCGTGCTGAGGAAGCCTAGCCCTGGCACTAGCTGAGACCCACACCCAACACTGTATCCCACCAGGTAATCCGGGAAGGAGGTCACGCAGTGGTGTGGGCTGGGCAACTGCAAGGTGAGCTGGTAGCCATCAAGGCCTTCCCCCTGAGGGCTGTGGCCCAGTTCCGAGCTGAGAGAGCATTGTATGAACTGCCGGGCCTACGGCATGACCACATTGTCCGCTTTATCACTGCCAGCAGGGGGGGCCCTGGCCCCCTGCACTGTGGGCCCCTCCTGGTACTGGAACTGCATCCCAAGGTGAGGACCAAGAAATGTCCATGTGTGTCCGTGTGTGTGTCTGTGTGTGAATGAGTATGGAGGTGGGGAAGGGGGGCCTGGGTGGCGGCTGGGCCTTGTCCATGCTTATTCTTCTTGCTTTAAATTTCTTCTCTAAAACATCAAAAATAATTTTTATTGTTTTTTCTTTTGTTATTATGTAAGAAATACATGCTAATATTTTCAACTCAGAAAATAGATAAGGAAAGGGAGAAGTCAAATTAATTCTGCACCTTAAGGAAAATCATTGTTAAAGAAACACATTGAGGCATAGCACTCCAAATTCATTTGTATATTCATTCAACAAATATTTATTAATTGTGTGTCAGGCACTGTGCCAAGTGCTAGGAAAAACACACCCTGCTTTTACAGATTTTATGGAGTAGTAGAGAGAGAGGTGGGTCAAGTAAACACAAAAATAAGTGTAAAATAGCAAGTGTGTTAGGTGCCGAAAGAGACAGCCATGGTACTGTAAGAGAACAGAGAGTCGGGACTTGAGGGGAGGACTGGGAGCAATAAGGATGAAGAGGAAGAGGGAGGCAGGGGCGAGACCACAGTCCGTCTTGTGCGCCTATTAAGGACTTGGGACTTTATCAACACCTACAGCTTCTCCAACTCTGAAGTCTTGAATTCTGGAAAGTTCCTTCTTTGACCATGTGCCTCCCTGCCCAGTTCAAAAATCACTACTTTTTTGGTTTTGTCTGTTTAACTTTCCTGGCACACTGAAAGTGCTCGACGTTTATTAAATGAAGGATTCTTGCTCCTTTCCCAACAATTCCCGCTTGCTCCCCAACCACCGCTCTCCTATCCCACAGCTCTACTCATCAGCCAGCTCTACCACAAACGCCTGACACCTAAAAGCTATGTGGTTCATGAGAGGTGTTCCAGCCTTGCTCACCCTGCCTCTTCTATTTCTGTCTTTGTCCCAAGACCTGTGAGGCAGTATATGGTAGTTAACACTGAGTAACAAGAGTCAGATTGCTTGGGTTCAAGCTCTACTTCTTTTCACTAAGTGACTTCCAGCAAGCTCAATTAACTGTCTGTCAAGCTAAATGGAAGTGACAGGAGTACTTACCTCCTAGAGTTGTTGTGAGGATTACAGGAGGCCTGGCCCATAGTAAATGCTCAGAACACTTGCACTAGAGTTACTATTTTTTTTTTGTCCATCTGACTGATGCACATTCTAACTCCTCTATTGCCTGTTATCTTGGCCTAGAAGTGTCAGTGTATTGGTCTGCTGAAAAATGTCTGTCAGTTGATCTCTGCTCTCTGGGGTAGATCAGCCACCTCCAGCTTTGTGTGTCCCCCCTTCTCTCTACTTCTCCCCAGGGTTCCCTGTGCCACTACTTGACCCAGAACACCAGTGACTGGGGAAGTTCCCTGCGGATGGCACTGTCCCTGGCACAGGGCCTGGCATTTCTCCACGAGGAGCGCTGGCAAGATGGTGGGTGAGCTGAGAACAGGAAGCCATAGGAGTCAGGAGCCATACTGCTGTGTTTCTGATTCTCCCTTAGCTTGGAGGGGAAGGGTTGGGGCAAAAGAGAAAGGAAGAAGATCCATGCCCCTTAACCTTGGCTTCTCCCACAGGCCAATATAAACCAGGTATTGCCCACCGAGATCTGAGCAGCCAGAATGTGCTCATTCGGGAAGATGGGTCATGTGCCATTGGAGACCTGGGCCTTGCCTTGGTGCTACCTGGACTCACTCAGCCTTCAACCTGGGCCCCTTCTCAACCCCAAGGCCCAGCTGCCATCATGGAGGTGAGTACTCTGGATAAGGATGAGGCCTAGAATGATAGTGCTGGTGCTGATGAAGATGTCCCCATTGCTGTAGCAACAGTGCAGTAGTAGCTATAGTATTTGGGGCATTGTTGAGTCTGTAGTTGGGGGATTGTTGCATGGATGAGTGTTGTGGTAAAAGTTGCCAATGTGATGATTCTTGGTCCTCCATACCTTTCTCTCCAGGCTGGTACCCAGAGGTACATGGCCCCAGAGCTCTTGGATAAGACTCTGGACCTACAGGACTGGGGCACGGCCCTCAGACGTGCTGATGTTTATTCTCTAGCTCTGCTCCTATGGGAGATCCTGAGCCGCTGCCCAGATTTGTGGCCTGGTAATGTTGTGTACAACAGTCTCCTCTCTTCCCAAATGCCTCACCCATCCACTTCAGATCCACCTACCTCCTGATCCAGGAAGCTCTGTCCTTCTCCCCCTTATCCCCACAAGGAAAACACTCCTAGTGCTAGCTGACACGTACCCCTATGTGCTTTTCCCCAGACAGCAGACCACCACCCTTCCAACTGGCCTATGAGGCAGAACTGGGTAGCACCCCCACCACCTGTGAGCTGTGGACCTTGGCAGTGGAGGAAAGAAGACGTCCCTACATCCCACCTACCTGGTGCCACTTTGCCACAGTAAGAGACCACAGGCTGAGGCAATGGGGACCCGGAGAGTCTGGGCATAGGCTTCAAGGATTTGTCAGCCAGGACAGTTCCTCTACACCTATGTCTTCATCACTCCTGGCTCATGTTCAGCTAAAGCTGGGCAAACTTTTCCTGTACCTCAGTTCATCTTCCTCCACTATAAGTCTCACACAGACCATTCCTGAGACTCACACCTTCTCCTTGCTTGGTCTTGCCCAGTCTGTCTTTCTTCTCCCGCACCATCAGTTAGTCCTCCTTGGCTTTGCTTCTGCCCTGAGCTCTGTCCCCAAGAGGGCTTCTCTCCTGGTACACTGATATCCAGCCTCCAATCCAATAATTCCTTGATCTGTCCTACACATTTGTGTTTCTGCCATGACCCAATAGAGCCAGTTCTAGGTATAAAAAGTAAAAGCAGTAGCCTAAAAGTGAAATTTCAGGGGTCTGTACAAATAGTTTTAACAGGAAAACCATTCCCTGTTACTTGGTCTGAAATACCTGGTCTGAAATTTCCATTGCACAAGTATTTGCTGTGTTAGATAACAGAGGCCCAGGCATTGTTGCTTGAAATGAAGGAGAACAATTTCCCATCAACATGTTAAGTCATTAACCGAACTTAACTCCTCAGAGGGAAAAGGTAGACCCTTTGGAAGGCACCCAGAGAAATTGTCTCAGGCAACAAGATGTAGAGGGCTGGATTTCAGTGAGGGGGAGAGGAGGGTTGCTCCAGAAAGGATCAGAAGAAAAGTGTTGAAAACAGGGGAGTGGTGGACACTTTTTAACCCTGGGGACCTCTCAGGGGGCCACTCAGGATCCTGGATTCAAGCCTGCCTCCTGGTCCTTCTTCCCAGGACCCTGGTGGCCTGAGAGAGCTCCTAGAGGACTGTTGGGATGCAGACCCAGAAGCACGGCTGACAGCTGAGTGTGTACAGCAGCGCCTGGCTGCCCTGGTCCTTCCTCAGGAGGCCCACACCTTCCCAGAAGGCTGTTCTCATAGATGCTCACCTCTCTGCCCAGAAGACTGTCTCTCAACTCCTCCCCACTGTCATTCTCCCTTGTAGGCCTCAGCTGAGAATCTGCCACTTCAGTGTTCAGCAAGGCCCTTGTTCCAGGATTCTCAACCTGCCATTGCCATTTCTCATGTGTAAATATGCAGTTTATGTGTAATCTATATGCAAACATACATAAGGTGATCGTGTGCCTGTTTGCTCTGCCTCACCACTGCCTTTCCCATGTGACGAATGCTTGGATTCTTCTGTGGGCATCCAGGCCACTATAGTTCTGACCAGTGACAAAGGGTAGGTGTGCACAGGAAAGAGATAAAGTCAGCTTTCTTGACTCCACATCCATAGATCATACTCCCTTCTTATGATCCTGGGCTCCTCCAGGCTCTCTTCCTTCTCCTCCACAAGCCTTTATTTGGTGGAAGGGCATTGGGAAAAGAGGGATGAATACAATGAATTTGCTGCTCTGAAGGTGCTCAGAGACCCACAAGTCACTTTGTTGGGGTCCTGGACAGTGTTTTTGGAGGGGGTGTCCTTTTCGGAGGCTTGAGTGGGAAGGCCTCACAGCACAGGATGCTTGAGCTGGGTCTTGAATGAGCAGGAGTTTTCCAGGAGTGTTGGGGGCAGTACAGCATTCCTGGTCCAGCGGGGTGTAGTATCACAAGGTGCAGCAAGAAATTGTAGGTAACCTGAGCAGCAAAAATGTGGGGTGTGTGATGAGAGAGAAAAGCTGGCATAGAGAGCTGTAGGCAAGGCTTTGTGAGCCACGGTGAGAAGTTCCTTCCTTCATTTCTTTTTTGTGTGTTTTCTTTATTGGCTTTTCTTTTGCACCCGAGACTCCTTTAATACTGGGTGCCCCTGAAGGTCAGTCTCATTACAGGTGCCTGGTTTATAGCTCTACCTCAGTTTCTAACTATCCAAGTGCCCTTGGGCAAATTACTTCCTCTTTCTAGGGCTCAGTTTCCTCATTTGCCAAATAACCGGTTGGAGGCCTACTTGTCTAATCCCAGAAGAACAATGCGGGGAGCCCTGACTTCACTACAACAGGATTGCTTCCTGCTCAGTGACCAACTAGCTCTATATCCCCGGGCAAGTTACTTAACCTTTGGAATCTCAGTTTTATCATGTGTGAAATATGGATAAAAACACCCTGCTTGCAGTGTCAATTCAGGGTGAAAAAACAAAGGTGATAGGTCATACATAGTACCTGACAGCAGTTGTGATTGAGCATTGAGATGATGTCTAGTCCTTTTCTAAGCTTGGTTGTTCTAGAATTCCAGGATTAACCTCTGGAAAGCCTATGAGATTTGACCTTCCTTCAGACTCAGGTCTCTAATTCTCTGCAAGATGCCATCGCTTGGATAGGCAGTCACCACCTGAAACTATACACATCAAAATCCAAGCTCCTGCCTTCCCCTCACCAACAGGTCTGCCTTCCCTTCTTCCCAGACTCTCCAGGACACCAAGTTTCTCCTGGTCCTAGAAGATCCCAATGAAGAAGATGTTTTTGTCCCCTCCTGTGGCCCCAGCTTGTCCCATCCATATCCAGTCAGTTCCCAAGCCCCACTGAGGTTGTATGGGCAGGGCCTGCTTCTGGGCACTGTCCCCCTTTCTTTCCTCCTGGGTTTGGTAGTCTCAACTACTGAAATTACTTCTTGGCTGCCTATTTTTTCCTCCAATCTAGATTAAACACCACTCTCTAAATAATCTTAAACATAACTTTGCATTGTGTTTTGCCTCTGTGCAACTGTCTACTTGCCTGTTTCATGACGATCATGTGAGCATCATTTACCGAGGAGGAAACCAAGGGCTCAGAGAAATTTAGGAATGTGTCTAAGGTCACACAGATCTTAAGTAACAGAGCAGGGATTTTCATCATTAAAAATAATGTTTATGAAAATGTCATAAATTATTAGAAATGGATAATGTCACATGAAAAGAATATACAACCCCAAGCTGACAAGCGTAGGGTTATATTAAATAAAAAATAAACCTGCAGCCTGGGCTGGTGCGGCTCAATGGATTGAGCACTGGCCTGTGAGCCAAGAAGTCACTGGTTTGATTCCCAGTCAGGGCACAAGCCTGGGTTGTGGACCAGGTTCCCCCCGATGGTGTGAGAGAGGCACCCTGATGGATGTTTCTCTCTCGTTTTTCTCCCTCCCTTCCCCTCTCTCTGAAAATAAATAAATAAAATATTTAAAGATAAAAAATAAATCTGAAGTTGGTTGGAGTGTTTTCCTATAACCTGAGAGTTGCAGGTTCAATTCCTGGTCAGGGCATATACCTAGATTGCAGGTTTGATCCCCAGTCTGAGAGCATCCAGGAAGCAACCAATTGATGCTTCTCTCTCACATCAGTGTTTCTCTTTCTCCCTTCCTCTCTCTCTAAAACACAATGAAAAAAATGTGCTCAGTGAGGATAAAAAATCAAAACAAAACAAAACGAAAACTATAATCACAAGAGAAACAAAAACCCAATAGAAGGACATTTTCCAAAATACCCATCCAGTATTCCTCAAAACTATCAAGATAACCAAAAATAAAGTCTGAGAAAGTATCACAACCAGGAGGAGCCTAAGAAGATGTGATGACAAAATATAATGTGATATCCTAGAATATAAAAGGACTTTGGGTAAAAACTAAAGAAATCTGAATAAAGTTAAAATCATAAGTCAATATTGGTTCATTAAGGTAACAAACATACCATACTAATGTAAAATGATAATAATAGGGGAACTGGGTATGGGGAATATAAAAACTCTGTATCACCTTCTCAATTTTTCTGTAACTCTAAAACTGTTCTTTTTTTTTTAAAAGATTTTATTTATTTTTAGAGCAGAGAAGGGTGGTAGAAAGAGAGGAAGAGAAACATCAATGTGTGGTTGCCTCTTGTGTGCCCCACACTGGGAACCTGGCCCACAACCCAGGCCTGTGCCCTGACTGGGAATCCAACCAGCAACCCTTTGGTTTGCAGGCTGACACTCAATCCCCTGAGCCACATCAGCCAGGGCTAAAACTGTTCTAAAAAATAACGTTTATTTTAAAAAAATCAAAACAACAACTATGACCATCTCCAAAATTTCAGAGAGTCCATAACTATAAGGAACAAAGCGAGGGTTGTGGTAATCATTACAATGTTTACTTGCAGTAATTTTGAGTGAGCGTATTGTAATATACTGTATTGAAGGCATCACTAACATAAAAGCCAGAAAACCTAGATTATCATCTTGACTCTCCAAACTGTGAACTGTTAGAAAATATTTAATTAATTTATTTAATTTTTTCAGGAAGTTGAATGAATAATTTTCTAAATCATTTTCAACCCTGTAATTCCATTATGCTATGATAAAATATGATCACATCACCAAATCCAGTGTTTGCCAAGTTGGTATTTCCATGAGTAGTGATTCTATACTCATGGAGAGGTGATATGAATGCAAATAAGCTTTTTAGAAACCTGAAAACATAAGTCTGTGAATAGAGGTGTACATATGGGAGAAAAACTGTGTTGCTGAAGACAGAGGTGGTGGACAGTGGGAAGAAGACTGAGCTTTTACCACCTACCTTTATTTTTAATTATTGAATTTCAAACATTCTATTTGTATGTTTTGTCTATTTAAATTAAATACAGTTGACCCTTGAACAACATGGAATTTCTGGGCACTGACCCCCGCATAATTGAAAATCGCTTATAACTTTTCACTTCCCTCAAACTTAAGTTGTCTCTCAGTATGAGTGGAGGATTGGTTCCACGACCTCCTGTGTATACCTAAATCTGAAGATGCTCAAGCCGCCTACGTAAAATGACAAAGACCAATGCATACAGTCGGCACTTTGCACCCATGGACTCCCAGCTGTGGATCAAAAACAGTACAGATATTGTTCATTTAAAAAAAAAAAAAAAATCCAGCCCTAGCTGGTATGGCTCAGTGGATTGATTGCTGGCCTGTGAACTGAAGGGTTGCCAGTTCAATTCCCAGTCAGGGTACATGCCTGGGTTGTGGGCCAGGTCCCTAGCAGAGGGTGTGCGAAATGCAACCACACATTGATGTTTCTCTTCCTCTCTTCCCCTCTTTAAAAATAAATAAATAAAATTTAAAAAATTTTTTAAAAACTCTGCTGTGGACTTTTTAAAGTGGACTGCACAGTTCAAACTCATGTTGTTCAAGGATCAACTGTATTTAGTCATTAATTTGGAAAGTCTGCACTGAGCCCTGGCCTGGTGACTCAGTTGGTTGGAGCATTGCCCCAATACACCAAAGTTAAAGGTTCAATCTCTGGTCAGGGCAGGTATAAGAAGCAATCAAAGAATGCATGAATAAGTGGAAAAACAAATCAATGTTTCTTTCTCTCTCTAAAAAAATCAATTAATTAAATAAAGTAAAAAAATCTATACCTAGAAAAAAAGAATTGGTGGAAAGATACCAAAATATTAACAATAATGATTCTATTCTGTTTGGGTGATGGGATCTCAAAAGTTGTTTGTTTTTTCTTTGTACTCTTTTCTGTTTTCCAACTTTTCTGTAATTTCCATGATTACTTATAGAATTTAGGAAGAGCATGTGAACAAATTTACTATTGCCAGGAAATATTCTTTCACCCTGCTTCATTCTCAACTGATAACTTTTCTTATTTCCCTGCAAGGAAAAAAAAAATCAGGAGCAATCAGCAAAGAATAGCCACATATTACCACCACTAAATCTACCAATGCATTTGCACTTTGATCTGTAGACTCTGATTTCTCTCCCAGTACAATAACAACAGCATATATAGGACTTATTATATGTCCAGTGGTATTCTGAATCCTCTACATGTATTAATGAATAAGGTGTCATTATTATCCTTCATTTTACAGGTGGGGAAACTGAAACATGAGACTTCTTTTGAAGTACCTTGTCCAAGGTTAAAAAGGAAGTAGTCTGGTTTCAGAGTTCATTCTCTCAACCACTTCCCTGTGCTAAATGAACTGTCATATCTGAGGTCAGTGCCTCCACATGTAACATGGGACCACTCTCTTCCTTGTCACTTAGGAACTTTGCTCTTTCAATTAGCTCTTCT